GTGCAGCATGGAAATGGTATTCTCCCTGGAGCCAGTGCTCTTCCAGTCACAGCTTACGCACGTTACATTCCACATTTGTTTACCGATGGGATAATGTTAAAGCCCCCTTCTAAGTGCCAAAAGAGTCAAATCACACTCCAAGAGCTTTTTACACTCATGTCTTCTCTGTCATCCTGGCCTTCGCTCATGACAGCACGTTCGTGTCACCCAGCCCTCCACCCAGATTTTTCCGTGACGACTGTAACGTCATCCGGATCATAGGGGTTAATATACATTAAAAGCAATGTGAGATAAAGAAGAATATCTCAAAAAAACAAGGAAAAGAGTAAACAGATAGTATAGGTAGTACTAGGAGCTGCCTCCTAAATGACTAAATACTTGCTGAGCCATCTGTGTGTAAAGAAACCTATTCACTGTGGGGATAGCTCATGAGTATATGAAATCCGTGGTGGTATTGGGGTAAGAGCCTTTCAGTTTAGGAAATTGATCAGAGATTTCATACAATAGTTTTAACTTCAAGCAAAAAATATAACATGAGTATGAAAATATCTGAGTACCAAATTTTATTATTTCTGAATAATATATTCTTTGGTACATGCAATTTGTTTAATATGACCCCATGGTTGTGATGTTCTGCATGCTGTAGGTAAGAGATTATCAGCTTTTATACCAGAGTGCATGTGTAAATTTGTAATCTATTAAGGACACTGGTATATAATCTAAATTATTCCTTGCTTCATGATTTTTTCCTTGACACAAATTTGTCAGGTACTTATGGTATAACTTTTGTATTGCAGATTCTACTGATGTGTCAGGCATGAAACGTCATCGCAGAAGAACAACTGTGTTTAATGAAGTTCAGCTTAGAACTTTGTACATGCACTTCACTTACTGTAACTTCCCTGATCCTTCCATGTTCAAGATAATTGGACACCTCACAAAATTGGAGCCTCAGGTCATTAAGATTTGGTTTCAGAATGAAAGGTCAAGACAAAGAAAACGCGCTACTCATATAGTTGATGAAGGTAAATGTTAAGCCTTTTACTTTTATTGTTATTATTAATTTTTATGTATCTCTCATATTTTCCTTTCATTATACTTTGGCACCTTAGGGGCTGCGGAATTGAGAAGTGACATGAAGGATTTAGTTAATTGTTATGATGATATTGGAAGAGCTCTGTTTTGTTACTCAGTTTGTGCATAATATTTGCTTATACTTATGTTAGAGGGAGCAGGAAGTAAATATTATTCTAAAATTGATTAAGGACACACTCACATGTATGTATGTGTATGGGTTTGCTAGTTGAAATATCAAGCCAGCAGATTTGATTATTATTGCACACACACACACACATATATATATATATATATATATATCTTTATAAATATATTATTATTGTTATTATTATTACTATTGCTATTACTATTACTGTTATTATTATTATTATTATTATTATTATTATTCAAGTATGGAAATTGATATCCCCTTTCATATGATTTCCAGTGAACTCAAAAGAAAAACCCTACAAGTGCAGAGATTGCGGAATGTCTTTTGCTATGTTGACATTCCTTGTAAAGCACAGTATGCGTCACAATGGAGACACTGACCAGGATGAATTTGTTCGAACTTGCCCCCTCTGTTTGCAGAAATGGAACAAAGATGTCTTTGCCTCTCATCTGAAGAGCCGACATAATGTGAATTTAAGTTTAGTAGAAGAGAAAAATGTTGGAAATCTGATGTGTTATTTATGTGATGAAAAATTTACTGATCAAGAAAGTTTAATGATTCATAAACACAAACATCTAAAGGATGATTATGGAGATCCTCCTGATTAAGTTTAAA